TTTGTGTTTTGTTTTTTTTTTGTTTTATTCCCTGGATATGTGTGCCGCGAATGAGGACGTCTGTTTTCATCATAGGTTACAGTCGTCCCTCACAGATCGAACCCTGAGCGATTTTTCTTCCAGCAGGGGACAAAATGTGGATTTATTTTTGGCGTAAAGAAAAGTTTGGGAGCCCCTAATGTAGGCCTGGCTAGATGTCCCTCTCATGGAGGTGAAACCCTCCGCAGGACATCCATTCACAGGCAGGTTTGATAATTCATACAAGGAGGTCTTCTCCTTATCCAAACGTATGGCTTTACGCGCGGAGATAAATTGGTTTAAATTACGCACTTCGCGTAATTATTTACATCAGTACTGGGGAGATGTATATTTGTTTATATATTTCATTTAAAAAATGTAATGACTCAGAGTTAGAACATATTTAAGCCCGCAGTGTTAAAGTTGAACATATTAAAAACTGGTAAAATGCCTCAGAAACTCTGAATTAAGCGTAAAGACGCACAGCGCGCAGAAGTCACAGGCGGTCAGGTGAACCCCCGCTGTTTGTCAGTTCGTACACATACATTCACTTCCAAATGTACTCTGACACTCTAACCTGTACCGTAGCACAGTCTCAGCAATACGTGCCCCCCTAGAGCCAGAGTGCATGCACCAGCTGAACACCCAACCAGCTCGTCAGACTGTTAACCAGAGAAATAAGCTGCATTGTGTCTGTTGGGACAGCTAATGTCCATGCACATGGCTCTGTGTGACACGTGGTGGTTTGTTGTCACACTGAGGTTTTAATCCAGCAAAACAAAACAAAACAATGGACTAACATCTGGAAGCAATGTGGTCACATATTTGTACTATTCAGTCATTGTGATAAATTATAGGCATAAGTCACCAAACATGGTAGACACTCTAGTCCTGCAAAGGCTTTGATTTGAAGGGAGGCAATGTAACCTGACCCCCACCCCTCCTTTTTACAGTTTTTTAAGAAGCACAGTTTGCCAGCTAATTCTTTTTTGATAGGCTCTGGTCAAAAGCCCAATTACTTCTTGATCAGAACACATTAAATGAATGAATTTAAAGGCACTTCGACATTAACCTGCCATGATTTATTCTTATTTGTACCCAAGATCACAGCTTGAACAGCAGGGCCGTAGCTACCACTGAGGTCTAAGGTCACATCTTTTTTATTTTTTCTAAGAAATTAGGGATTTTAGCATGTTGGGAGAGTTAACATTTAACTTTTCCTTTTAGTCCAACAGCAGCAAGGAATTAAATGAATAAATAATGGATTCAATATGTCCCCACTACAGTTTATTTTCCTGATGAATTAATAAAATACGACATTCAGATGTTTAAAACATATACACATATACAACAGAGATATTTTATATTTTATGGTCTGACCAAACCTTTCTGAAGAAGGGTTGTGGGGGGTGAGGGGGGAATTGGCTCATGACCTCCGTATTTCTAAAATCCTGGCTACGGCCCTGCTGAGCATTAATCCTCACTCTCTCACACATGGTTATTTATTTTCTGTAGAAAAATAACCTGTATCCTCAGTTAAAACTTTCAGATTAAGTGAGGGGGAAAAGTTTTTTCATTACGTCTGTGTGAGCTGGTTTGATCCAGACGGTTGGAACAAAGTGAGCCGCCTGAGGTGCCGTTATATTGAGTCCATGTTTCAAGTGACTTTAGATTTCCTTTGCCTCCTGTGTCAGGCTCCATCAGTCTGCAGTCTGTCTAATTGATTGCATCCGCAGGTTAATTGGACACTCAGCCGGAGGATGAATATCGAGCCGGGCTGCATCTCCCCCTGCCGCTTCACCGCCGAGCTCCATTCTCCAGGAGAACCCCTTTTCCATGTAGTGGTTTCCACAGACCAGCACCCCCTCCCGTCCCCTTTTCAATACAGAGACTTATTTCACAAAAGACTGATGGACAAAAAGCATGTGAGAAAACAACGGTCTTCTACCGTGCGATGGGTTCACCCCTTATTTATTATATGTGTATATATATTTTCTATAAAAACTGTTATGTTGTTGATGAATGTTTAGTGTGGTTGTTGCTAGAGTGGAACAAGAAATACTCGCTCGGAGGTTCAAATCCTACGTATCACACACAAAGTCCATTGGGAATAAGCTTATAGATATCTTAGGCGGGTTGCTGTAGGTTAGTCAAATCAGTTCATTACTGGTAAAATGTGTCATTGTCCATGTTTTCATTTTTCAACTGAACCAAAGAATCATTACATTCTCTCTCTTGTGCAGTGCTACAGCTCGGAATATACTATGCTAAAATAGATATATGATGAGATACCTGCATGACCTGTACTTGTTTGATGGCTTGATTTATTAATACCTACAGTACATCTTAGTATTTTTGTTGTGTGCATCAATAATTTTCCATCATTTTATTTGGCTGCATTAGATACACAATTTTCTTGCTTTCTTGTGAGTCTTAAATCTGAGTAAGATACTAGCTTTTTACCTTCAGTTTGTTTCAGTGGTTACAGAGAAGAGCTTAGTAACATAGTAAGTAACACACACAGTGGAGTTTTTGTTATATTGGCAGTTTCCAGGAACAGAGCTGCTCTGAAGACATTTAAGTGGTTGCATTAAATCTTAGTGGGTGGGGACAAATTACCACTCTTTTCTGACTTTGTACGTGCAGCCTGAAACTGAAAGCTGGAAGAAGCATGTACTTCAAATTGATAAGCATGTGACAAAGAGGAAACGTATACTGACATTTCAAATTTTATGGAGATATTTTCTCTCTGTTTAAACTTTCAAACAGGAGAAGCGGTTGTAGCTTGTAAGCGCCATCTACTCTTACTGAACCCTCCTCTGTCAGCGACTGCTCCACAACAGAGGCAGGGTTTGGAGACGGACTCAATGGTTCTTGGCTGAACTTATTGCCTCATAAGCAACTGTGCTAGCTCACTAGCTTGCTTATTGTCAATTAGCAAGCTAGTGAGTAACAAGAGATATATTATGACCGACTAGTACGAGCATGTTCCCGGCAGGCTAACGAGTTAGCATTTTGCTCGCCAGCTACAGAAGTTCGCCAACTAGTCTTGCGAGTAGTCTCAAGCTTCTAGAACCACAATGCTTTGCCACTTCATGGGCCTTTACTAGAGCTGGATATGTTTCAGGATTATGCCCCATTTATTCCAGAAAGTTGCTCACTGGTTGAATATGCTAAAAATGTTTCTCTGGCCTCTGTAAGTTTGGGAAAACCTGGCGCATTGAAGTCCAGTTTAAATGAGGTACATAAATGGAATTGTGTGACAAGGGCTGAAAGGTTTTGTTGCAGTTTGCTAGCTGCTGACTTTCCAATATTACAAATGCTGTGGACGTATCTTGTATTTTGATTA